GTGACTCAGCTCCAAAGAATCCACTATTCCTGCTTGCAGGAGTTTCTCATTGCCATCTTAATTGCATATATACTGCTGGTCCATGGCTGTAAAATGGGTTTTCTCACTTGTGTTCATTCTGTATCAAGCATATGAAGTGTTGGGCACTTAAGGAGGTAACACTAGTGCCCAGAAAAGGTCAACTTAAATAACATTCCAGGTCTAAAGATAAATGCCTGTGTTTATCCTTCTTTGTGACCACCTGTGCTGTCTGGTCTCCGTTGATAAACATGGGAAAGTGAGAGTTGATTAACTTTTCTTCTTAGAAATTGCTTACACAATGCATCTGTTTTGGGACATGTTTTTGTTTTCCTATGATCTCTCAAATACACCTTTACTTCTTTCTTTTTTCACTTGACACTTATGTGCCCCTATGGCTAGTCTCTGTGCTGACTACAAAGGTGAGCATAGCATGGACCTGTAAAAACAACTCACAGTTCAGTGGGGAAGGTATACCTAAGAGGATAATTTAAAAAGAAAAAGCAAAATGCTATGGAAAGTACATGGTCTAGTTTTGCATAAGATTTGATATGCAAACACTCATGTGTTTTGAGATAGAAGTGGGGAGTGGTAGATGAATTTTCTGAGGTGTGGTGGGTGACTCTTCTTCAAGGAGAGCCTCCTTCTACCACCCTTATCTCTGGGCTTCAGATGGCGGTAAACTCTGGGGCGAAAGATACCCTCGCTCTTCTGCAGTTATCAGCACGTCTTCACTTGCTTACAATGCATTTACAGCCCTATCTGTCTCCTTCAGGGGTCACTCCTCCCCACCTCCGCCCAAAATGAGTTTCCCCTGCAGTCAGACTGCTTCCCTTTTGACTGTACAGTCTTATTTGAAAACTCATTTAGTCTCTTGTCCTCAGTTACTACTATTCTCTCATCAGACCTTGAACTTCTTAGAGTCTTTTTTCCCCCCCATAGGAGAACAGAAACTAACCATCTTTAACTTACTGCTGTTTTGTTGTATTTTGAGAAAGGGAAACAGGATAAGATTCAGGCATCAGTTAGATTGAAGGAATGGTTCAAGTCCATAGTTCCCAGGCACCTCAGAGAAGAGTAATGTATAGAAAGAATCAGAAAGAACAGATGTAAGCGGAGGCTGGTGGGAGTCAGAGAGGCTAATGTAGGGATAGGGACATCATTCACTCAAAAAAGGAAACAGTAGGGGATCCTCCAAAAAGCTCATTTAGGGAGCTCCTTACACGGTTTTTGACAAAGACATCAATACAAATTAGAGAACCAGTCATTCCTTAAATAATGTTTCAGAAAGGTAATATCCGGCAGGGGTGGAAAAGGGCTGAGAGACTGAAATTCTTAGGAAGAAGTTAGGAAGATTCACTTAAATTATATTTTGAAACAGGCATAAGGTATTAAATAGTTATTAGTATGCAAAATGGAATCAATAATAAATGGTGAGGACTAGAAAGGGATTCATGGATATAATTTATTTTAATTTTCTCAGAACCTTTGGCAAGTTTGCACACACAAGAGCACTTTCTAAAAATTGAACTACTCCAGGATTCTAGAAGATATTTTCTTCTATGTGTGATTAAAGAGAGTAACATGGATAAAAAGGAATATCTGAAGAAGTTTAGACTAAGAGAGTAGTTTCTGACAAGTTGAGAAATGATCTGAAAGGGGTACTATTTATTGACATTTTCAGATTTATGGGTCATTCTAAATTATTTTGGGGTAGTAGAACTTATTTTTTTAAATTGGGGAGAAGAGACCCTTTTACAAAGGATCCCATGATGTTAAAGGCAATTATATTTTTAAGCTAGACAGAGTTTACATCTGACTCTGGCCGTTAATGGAAAACTAATGTACTAAACCAAGTTTTCATTGATGCTAAGGATATTTTTCTAAGCAAATAAAATTGAGCACTGCAACTCAACCACTGCCTTTTATTATGATTGCCATGAATCCGCAGGAAGACTAATTTATATCACGGTTTGTTAATGCTATTATCTAACTTAATAAAAGGGAATGCCTAGAATATATGAGTAGATGTTAATAGATTGCTGTTACCTGCATTTGGCCTTTTAATTACAGGTTTGCTGCCCTGTCTTAGTACTTGTGAGGTATAGGCAGTGAAATGAAGTCTTTGGCTCTGAACTATCTCAGACTGTGGGGGAGGCCCAGAAGGAGTCATGCCATTTCTTTTTCATGATTGTTGTGCCTTCAGGTTCTCAGCCTTGTGTTCATTCTTTTTATTTATTATAACGGCTCTGTGTTGGGGCTGAATCTATGTCCTATTGTTTGTTGGATAGAATACCCTTTTATTTATGCCTGTCCAGATGGAGAAAACTCAACTGACTGTAGACTTGTGTCAGTTCCAGCTGATTGGGAGGGTGGGCAGGAAGAAGTCCCTCCTTTAAGTATTCATCATGGGCTAAGAAAGATTTTACTCTGCTGACCCTTAATGTTGTTTGATGTCCGTATGTCAGGTATGTGGAATTTAACCTGCTGTATGATCGGGGTACAAAGTTTGGCCTCTTCACTCCGGGATCCAGGATCGAAAGCATCTTGATGTCTTTACCTCTGACTGCTCGGTAAGAATAACTCGTTTTAATAATCATCCCCCTACCCCGAGCCTTCAGCCCCCACCAAACATGAACGTTAACACTACAGATCTCTTACCCAGAGACGTCACTGGTTTTGACTTTGCTGCTTTTATTAAAAAATCAGAGTCAAATCATTAAGGAAAATCAAATTGGATATTTTAAGGGGTATCAGGGTGAGTGATACAGCTTTGTGTGTGAGAGCAGGAAAAGGATAGAGGGAGCAGGAGGACGGGGATGATGATGTCTAAGGGCCGGATTATCCTTGCCTGGGTAGTTTTCCAGGAAGAACATATCAACTTCTAAAACTTAATTTTATTAAAAATGATTGCACGTGTGAGGAAATGTCTTACTCTCCCGTAGGAAGTATTAAGCTTGTTTGAAAGTATGAGGTGCACAGCATTCTCTCTGTGTTTTCCATGCTGCTGTGGTGAGCTAGCTTCTTAGAGGTGAATTGAGTCTGTGGGGAATTTTACAGACGGATATATTCACATTGGTGCTATTAGGTTAATAAAGATCTACAACCGACTTTGTTGCTTTTAAGAAAATGAGAATGATGTGTGTCAACACTGAAATAGAAAAGATCAGAAAGAAAACAAAGTTACCATTGTTTGTTTTACAAGAGTTAGAATCTTTTTTCTCCATGAATTTAAATGTCTGAATAAGAATTGAACTACTGGATGCCACTGACAGTCTGCCTTGCCTCATTCTGCTGTTCTGATCTAGCCTTGTGAGAGCAGTACCCTCTGTGGTTGTCATGCCTTCACAAAGGCATTGACTCTGTCTAACTATTGTTTAGGGATCTTCTGTCCTTGGTTAGAAGATCGCGCACATCACTGTTAGGTGTTCCTGGAGAGATGAGAAGTGAGTGAGAAGTAAACATGACCATTAGGCCTCTGGTGGTCAGCCTGATCGCTCTGGCCCCTAAGTATAATTCATATTCCAAGCAGATGTGGGCGGATTAGAAATCACCGCCTTGCTCACTTGAGTAGCATTACCACAACAGGTCACTTTTAGCTTCTTATCATCTATACTGGGGGGTCTGTAAACTTAAGACTGCAGGATAAATCCAAGTCCACCAAAAGGTGTGCTTTTGTACAGACCTTGAGCTAAGAAAGGATTTTACATTTTTAAAAGGATTTATTAAAAGCAAAAAATATGAAAGAGACCATATGTGGCCCCACAAAGCCTAAAGTATTTATTATGTGGCCCTTTATATTATCTGATGTATTATTTACTTTATATTATCTGATGTATTATATACTTTAATTTTTTTACTTTAATGTATTATTATTGAGCTTATCAGTGATTTTTGAAAGCAACCTGTTTTTTCTGAGAGAGAATCTATTTAAAAAGGCATGCCAATATTGTTGCCATAAATAGAAAGTAACACAAAATAAATGTGTAAGTATGAAGCTAAAAATAGTTTACCCATGGGTCATCTCAGGTTAGAACTTTACAAAACCCTAATTTATAGTAAAAGTGTATTTTCCTTCTGGGATATTAGCCAAAGTGTGCTCAGGAATTAAGAAACTTTATTTCTTTAGCAACAAGTATTTTTAAAAAGCCTGGTGGGTGAAAGGCATATTAGGCACAGTGGAGACAAAGAGGTATGAGACATTTTTTACTGTTTTAGAACTTTATTTTTCATTTATCTTAAGTAAACAGGAATATGTGTTGTTTATTATTTTTTTATTATTACATTTTTTGCTTCTGTTTTGGGTGTACACAGATGGGAGTACATGCATTCACCCTCAGCGAACTCCAAAGAAGCAGAAATTCTGGAAGTTCTTCGCCATCCAAGGGATTGGGTGCATTGACAGAGGTGAAGCAGCCGTCCTGGGGTCTGGGGACACAGAACGTGTGCCCCACGTGTGCCCCCACTCCACTGGCTGGCACCGTTGCCACCCTGTGGCAGTTAGTCACCTATGTCTTGAGCCCCAGTCTTCATTCTGGAGCCTGCCTCCCTGGCACCATAGGTTTCCGTTGGATGCTGTCAGTGATGGGTGAGAAGGTGACCACAAGTCCATTGGTTGATATAAATCTCATTTATACTTTTAGAATCATTTTATATGACTAGTTTACAAAATATGACATTGGGTTTTCTGTATTGAGTTAAGGGAATCTAAATATTATAGTTTGTATCAGGAGAACTTCTTATGTTATTTTTATTTCTTATATTTCTTTAAAATTTTAGTTTCTGCCACAAAAATCTGTTGTGGGATAAATTTATTTTCATTAATTGAATGAGATTGAGCTTATCAGTGATTTTTGAAAGCAACCTGAAATAAAGGTAAAAGTGTTGCTTTGTCGTTACTGAAGTTTCTTTAGTCATAATGTATGTATGTCTGTATCTTGCTGTAGAAATCATAATATTGTAAAATGCTCATTTTTATATAATGATAGATATTTAGGAACTCTTGAAATTTTCTTACTCTCTACATTTGTTACAATTCAGTGATTACCTGTGGTTGTTAACTCTCCATCACTGTTATTTCAAAAAGGGACATCTAAGTTGTAATTTTGTAAAACTGGAATTTGTTATCTGCACTTTTGAATGTGAAAGCTTATAACCATACATTCTGATATTTAGAATTTTCTATTCCAGACAATTCTATATGGAAATTTAAACTAAAAAAAAAAAAAAATCCTGGGGATGTTATGAATATAGGAAATGTTTCTTGTTTAGTGAGAAACATTTTCCTTCTTTAATTAAAGTAAGCATAAATGTTATGTGTGTGAGAAGCATGTAGGCATTTTATAAATATTTTTTCTTGTAAGATGGACTAGTTGAAATTGTTCTCTTTAAATGAGAGATTCTGTGACTCATTTGCTTTTAAGATAAATTCACAAAATTCTTTAAATTGGCTTCTTTGTTCACATAATAATATGAAAGTTTTTTTAATTCATAATATATTGAAGTTTGTAAGGAATATTATCTTCCTACATACTATTAAGCATTATCTTGGAACATGTTGAATGTATGTGACTGTGTGTGACTCTTTAGGGCTGGAAAATGTATGAATTCTTTAATTGTCTTACAATAGATCTACTGATTAAATTTTATTATGGGATATGGTTTACAAATGTCTGTATTTTTCACTTTTTTTTTCAGGATAATATACACAGGGAAGACAAATATTTCTTAGTTCTAATACCATAGTTCCTCACCTAAATATTTGAACCTCCCTAAATATGACTTTTGCACTTAAATTCTCATAGCAGCTTTATTCACAATAGCCAGGAATAGAAATAACACAAATGCCCTTCAGCAGGTGAGTGGATAAAGAAAGTGTGTTATAGCCATATGTTAAAATACTACTTAGTAATGAGAAGGCATGGCTTGATAAATGCAACAACATGGATGAATATTTAAAAAGCATAATGCCAAGTGAAAGAAGCCAGACACAAAGAGCCCTCACTGTATAACTACATTGAAATTTTCTTAATCTCTGTGTTACAATTCAGTGATTACCTGTGGTTGTTAATTCTCCATCACTAAAAAGAGTCAAAACTCTAACAACAGAAAGCAGATCAGTGGTTGCTAGGGGCTGGGGATGGGGATGGAGCTGGGAAATGGATTGTGAAAGGGAACAAATGAATATTTTGAGGTGATGGAAATGTTCCATATATTGATTGTGACAGTGGTTACCAAATTGTATACACTTATCAAAACTTACTGAACTTCACACTGAAAATCATAGAATTTTATTGTGTATATAATTTATACTTCAACAATGCTGATTAAATTTAAAAACCCCTAATATAGGCATGTTCAAATAAACCTCAGTTTACCTTTTACAATGAAAAGTCCTTTTATCATATAGATCTGCTAGCATTTTTACTTGTGTTGAGGACTGTTGGGGTCTGGGCATTGGACTAAAATAAAATTTCAAAAAATTTCTGTGCATATCAGTTTTCCATACCCGTTGATGTATGTCTCTTACAGATGAGATGGGGGGGGGGCATAATTGCATAACTACTGGAAAAAAAGATCATTCTGCTGTTACTCAAAGTAAATTTCTCTTTCAAGTTTGTATTGATGTCTATTCTGAATCTACTAGAGGCCCAGGGTGTATTCCCAAATGGCCTGAGCACCTGAGTGCTGCTCTTTCATATATCTGTTAGTGGTCAGAAGGGATGGAAGTTTGCGGGGGCGGGGCGGGGGGATATACATGCTTTGGAACAAATTTCTAATCACTACTTTCTATCAGTATACTCCGCCTTCCCACCCATTGAACTCAATGTTTGAGTTAGAAAACTGCATGCTAACAAGCACCAGATTAGAAGGTCAAGAAATGTGTTTTCTTATGACTACTTATCCTTCCATGTGTCTTTTGTTGTTACATTCAAGGCTGGAATCATCTGCAGGTTTTTTAGTTACACATCAGTGCCCGGGCTAAACCACTCGAAGGCTAGGCTCAGCTTAGACTCAAATTTCACCAGGTGAGGTAGGTATGCACTGTTGCCTTCTGATCCAACCCCAGAGGTTAGGTAGTGTCACTCTCCACATTCCACTAGTTAAGTGAGTCACTAAGCCAGCTCCACATTCAAGGGGAAGGGACTAGGCCTTACTTAACTCAATGGCAGGAGTGTCAAGGAATTTGCTGTCATCTTGGAAACCAACACATAGCCTTTCACACCCAAACCACAGAAGCGACTTGCCTCTTTCCCTCCCTCGTTGTCCTAATAAAATCCTGTTGAGTCTACCTTTGAAATGCTTCTTGGTTTCCTTCCTCTGTTCACTGCCACCACTATTGTATTATCCCTGCCACAAGTATTAATTAAATTTGCTCCTTCCCAAAGAAACACATAAAATTTCAATTTCATAATAAACCTAAATTGTCACAATTAAGTTGGTGAAGCATAAACATTTACAAATGTCTTGAATAAATCCTGAATTTAGTATTGTTATCTGAAACCAAAGCATAGGTCATACAATATAAAACCTTATAGACCTATTTCTACAGGTGGTTTAATACCAGGTACACATTAGCATAGGCTAGCAGAGCAAGATAATTGAATTGCATTCCATCTTCCAATCAATGTTCTTTGTTTTGATTCTAAAAGTTAACTCATTCATAAGTATTTTAAAGAATCCTTCACCAATTAATTCCCATTCATTAACACATGTTTGAACATAAAACTTGGCATAATCTAATGCATCATGGTTTCAGTGAGTTTAATGAGTTTCAGGGAGTTGACACAAATACAGTCATTTGGCTTTGTAGTCATTTACAGTTGCAACATTGGCTCTGTCATGGACTCATTTACTTATGAAATGGTTGGGGAGGTATCAACTTAAAGTTTACAAATAAGATTGTACCAGTTGAATGCCTCTATTAACAGCAAGTGAATAATCCTATGTAATAAAAGCCTAATATGCTAAGTGTCCAGTCGTCCGGTCAACCAATCAAAGCATAATATGCTAATAATATTCTAAGGCTGCTCAACTGCTCGCTATGACGTGCACTGACCACCAGGAGGCAGACGTTCCAACTGGTAGGTTAGCTTGCTGCTGGGATCCAGCTGATCAGGACTGAGCAAGATGGGCCAGACATGCCCTGGAACCCTCCCTGGCTGGCCAACCTCCCATGTCCCTTCCGGCCCTAATCGTACACCAGTGGGTTCCAGCAGCCTGGCCTGCACCCTCTCGCAATCCGGGCTGAGGAACCACCCCTCTCCAAATGCACAAATTTCATGCACTGGGCCTCTAGTGCATTTATAAATAAAAGTCTTCATAGCGATTTATGCTCAGGTCTGTGCATTTACAAATAAAAGTCTTCATAGCGATTTATGCTCAGGTCTGGTCAAAGTTGTTCCCATTGTCTGATTTGGTGAGGCAGCCGGAAGCTTTTAGAATGTTCCAAGCCTACTGCTTGACATCCTTCTAACTGTAGAAATAATATACAAAACTGCAATCCCACTTATCAATTTCTTATAGTTCAAGTTGTAATTCAACTAAAAAAATAATTCAGTAGATACCCTCAAAGAATAATAATTATTTAAAATTTTAAATATCTACATCAATATAAACTTAATAACTTCTGCTGAAAGTTTTAATTCAGGTGTATTTGAGCTTATATTCTATTCAACATGAATAATGTGAATATTTCTAGAAAGCAATAAGGACCCACTTTTCATTTTACCCCCCCCCCCCACTTTTTCAGTAATGTGTGGGAGATACGGGATCTTCCCTAGAACAGCAAGTCTTCTCCCTGACACTCTAGCATGAGGAGTGGAGACCAAGCCATCCCTGCTGTGCCAAATCAGAATCCCAGCTCACAGAATCTGTGAACACAATAAAATAGTTGCTGTTTTATGTCACTAAGCTGGGGCAGCTTGATAAACAACAATAGATAATTGGAACAGGTTAACGGCCCTTAACAAAAAAAGAGAGAGCAGTTTTGACTAGCTTTATATGCCTGCAAGCTGCCAGTATTTAGAGATGTGAGTCAGAGGCTTATGAGAGAAGTTAGGTCTAGAAACGTATATTTACCAATTATTTGTGTAAAGGTGCTAATTGAAGAAGTAGAAGGCGAGCCGTCTGATGAGGTTCATGCAGATTAATAAAGGAGAGTCGAAGACTGAACTGGGGCCAGCGAAATGAGCTTGGAAAAAGGTATGAGGGAAGGAGGCCAAGAAGCAGCTCATTGAATAAATGGAATAGAAACAAAGGAAATTAAAAGGGGCAAGTTGGGTGTGATTATAATAAAGGTTAAAACATTACAGTAGCTGTGCTTCTATATATAGAAGATATTGAAATAATACATGCTATATATAATATGTTTGATAAATCAGGCATTAAGTTCAGATTTTTAGAAATGATCATAGTCTCTAAATTAGCAAGGTCTTCTTTGGTACTAAAATTTAGGTAATAAAATTATTTCCACTACATACGTGATGTCTTGTTTCTCAAATTGTGAAATTCTTTAAAGAACCAGCAGGTGGAGCACATTTACTTGAGAAAGTCTAATTCTGGATTTCTGTTTTTGTTTTTTTAGGGGGTTAGGGTGGGAGTGGAGGAAGAAACAGTGAAGAGAAGTGAATGGGAAACAGGGGGAGGAAGGAGCCGGAGAGGGTGAGAGAGAAAAGGCCAGAAAAAAGGAGAATGAGTAGGAAAGAAGATGAAAGAGAACTGTTTGACATCTCTCCTTCACTGAATTATGGTATAGTTGGATGATTATCTGAAGGAGTTATTACATATTTAATCAAGCACTGTTGTTTTTTCCATCACATCACATTTATCGACTCTATGCCCTCTTCTACCTCTACCCACCCCCTAATCACCACACTGTTGTCCATGACCAGTAGTTCTCTCTCTCTCTTTTTTTTTCTTTTTGCTCAATCCCTCCAC